TCCCGGCGGCACCTCCGAGGGCGAGCGGGGCGGCAGCCCTTTTCCGCACCGGGACCGCTCGGGCTTAGCTCGTCTCCGCTCCCCCGGCGTTGGGCTGGTTCCCCACAGAGGGGCTTTTTCGCCCTCTTCCCCTCGCCCCCCCCAGCGCTTCCCCCCAAGGCATCCCCACGGGCTCTGCAGCGGGGCCGGAGAGCGCGCTGAGCTGCAGCAGAAATTGGACTTGCGGTTCTCGCTGCCTCCTTTTGCAGACTCCTCCATCTCTATCTTTCTCTTTCTTTAATTTATGACCTCTCAGCTCCCATTGACACAGTTTTCCACACTGCCTATATTGTAGGATTGCATCGTAATACACGCCGAATCAGCCTAGCCGTCAGCCAACACACATAAGGGTGGGTATTTGATATTTCGCAGCTATTTAGTAACGCTCGGCTCCATTTGAAGATGACAACAATTCGCCTCGCCTCCAAGTTATCCATGAATTACAGCTTGAGATCCATTTTCCCTTTGTAATGTCTTCAAGCTTACCAAAGCAAAACACCTAAATAGCTAGTGGAGATTTCCTCCTGGCCTGGCCGTTAAACAAACGTTTAACTATTCCCTTTCGATAACTAAACCTGCTTTCCGCAGATGCCGGTCTTTTTTATTGCAGAAGCAGGAATGCGGCGAAATATTTATATATTTGTTAGTAAAAGCTAGCAAATAAGCTCTGAACATGCTGTAAAAAATATTCGGTTACTTACCGATCAGACCAGTTAAACAAGCACGAAACTGATTTCGGGAGCGTAAGTGATTCGGGTGAATACCGGTCGAGGTGCGTAGGCGCAGGCAGCAAGCTGGAAGAGAATCAGTTAGAGTCGGGTTTATCGTCAGTGTCTCAAAGCAATTCTTTCTGGAAGAAAATACCGTCCCTGGCCAAACCCTGAGCTCTCCGCTCCCTCGGCAAGCCAGCAGCCGCGAAGCCGGGGCCAGCCTTTGCTAACTTGGATCGCAAGCCCGGTGGCAGGCGAGGCGATGTAACCTCTTCTCCCCCCGCACGGGAACTAGGGATCTCTTTGTGTGTATTAACCGGCAATAAAAGTATAAGCCGGGGCGTTGCTGGGGCATGCCTATCACAACCGGGCGATCGATAACGTGCCCCCCGAAGCTGGTTTTATTTGTTCCTCTACCGGACCGGCACAAAGCACTTTGTAAAAGCGACCTCGGAGCGTATCAAGCTCTCACACGGATTTTTGCCAAGAATTCCTTGGATCCATACCGTACCTGGTTTGAGATTATCCGATATTTAGGTTTTAATGACTTTGTTGGTTTTTTGGTTGTTGGTTTGGGGGGTTTTTTTTATGCAGATTTTACAGTAAGGCATCTGCTAAACACTTGCATTAACCTCTGCCTCCATGATAATTTTCCCCCCCTTGTTTTAATTACATTATGGATGCGGAGGGGCAGCCAATCCTAAAAGAGGAGCTCGGCAATTAGCAGGGCGAACATCAAAAAGTTTTATTGCGGAGGGCGGCGGGCCCCGCCCCC